CAAGAAGTTTCCCTACCGTACTATCAACTTTAATCACCTCTGATTCGATGCTCGTATCCATGTTCATTGCGTGTGAATCACCCTTTAGAAAATAATTTATTAATTGAACTATGCCATAAACTAGCGTTTCTCAGTCTATGGGCTGCTGCCCAATATGAGTCGCGGTAAATTTTTAATGGACCGCGAAATGATAGCTGCTACCTTATGCCAGAGCAAGGAAAATGATTAATTTTTAAGAAAATCCTAGAATGTTCCCGTAGAATCTTCTTACGAGTACGTATCTTTAAAATAATATACAATGACTTCAATCTATCAGATTCTTAAAAATTTTACGTTATAAACATTTGTGAGCTGCGGTATCATTACAAATAAACAGAAAATTTAATTTCGATAAGTTCAATTAATCGGTGATAAATGATCGTTTACTTGAATCAATTGATGATCGTTCGAAGACGATAAGCTTGAAATAATTGGAAGATTATCTCTTGTATTATTATCTTCGGTTTCTTCTTTTACATATACCTCGTATACACTGTACCAAAAAAAAAAAAAAAAAAGAAAAAAGAAAAAAAAAGAAGAAAATGTTTGATTAGAATAATTTTAAGATTAATAAGATCGAATATAAAATACAAAGAATTTCAATGATTACCTGATCACTTCGTCTTGGACTGGCCGAGTAAATTGTACTTCATTTTCGTCGTATTGTGTACTTCCCACATAATCAGCAAGGGTTTCTTCAAAATTATTTGTTTCATCTATGAAGGAAATAAAATACCAAATACGTTGATATATATATGTATGTATGTATGTATAAATTACAAAAAAGTAGCATTTTAAGAAACGATATAATATAATGCGATAAAATTCATTTCAGGAGCTAAGGAAATCGATTTCATTGATAATGAAACAAAAAGCTTTTTCTACGATTGTAATCAGATCCTTTTAAGCATATACTCGTTGTTTTACCTATCTCTTTCTATTATTATCTTTCTTTAAATATTCAACGTAAAAAAACACATATATATATACACACACACACACACATCATGCACGCACGCACACACATAACTTTCTTTTCGGCAAACGTATCACCGTATGTAATCATATATCTATCTATCTACTATCGGAACTTGAAAGAAGTTGATTTTCTCTCAAGCAGTCAGCTGTCTCATGTTACAGTGTTACAAGCTAATACAATCAACGAGATTACGTTGTACAACATTGAAAGCACTTGCCTTTATGTAATTCGATCAAACAATACAAAAGTTTTCCATTCTAGCTTCAAGTTTTTTCCTTTCTCTTTTTTTTTTTTTTTTGACAATATAATCCTTTAAATATTATATATATATATATATATATATATATATATAAATTTTTTATATATAAATTTAACGAAATAGCCTTGACTTTATAGTCGATTCGTTTATTTCTTCTTTAAAAATTTTATAATGTAAAAACTCATCTATAATTCGTCAATCAAGCACACATGCTTATTATGTGTTTTTTATCTTTCTCGATCTCTAACAATAAGATAATAAAATGGCACACATTTGTACATTATATACAATATAATGATTTTTTCCAATATAAGTGATTTTTTTCTTTTTTTTCTTTTATTCCTATAAGATTATACATTCTAATCTATCGTGCGCACTCGTTTGCCAAAGCCATTGGATACTATAGAAACTTCATATTTCTATTAAATTAAACATCGAAATTTTTACGACACGTTTTAATCATACAATTAAATTAATTTCAATTAAATATAAAAACATTCAAAAGTAATAAATTTTGTTACTCTGATCATATTAAAAATTCATTGATCATTATAAAATAATTTTTAGAAATTATCCGGAACTATTATATTTTTATTTAATGCGATTCAAGTGAAAAGAAAGAATTATTATATTTATGTATTTGGATTATTATTATTGGAATGATTCAAGTTTACGGGGTTTTAATCCATTGCATAATGCGAAACAATATTAAAAAGTGTACCAAAAAAAAGAAATTAACTCCGGAATATGTAAGTACCGGGACGTAATCGATTATTGGAAAAATTGATTTTATAAAAAATCGAAAGCCGCTGATTATAAGCTCATGAAAAAAGTTTTAAATGAAGGATTTTAGATTATTTAAAAATGTAATGTCGATGAATGGATCTGATATTTGGTATTAAAAATTGAATATTCATTAACTGTTCTAACGTGTAATCATGGAAATGAAGTGTTATGCATATATCTTTTCGATATTTTGTGTTCGGAAAGACAATCTACTAACTGTAGGGATCAGTAGAAGGGTGATATTGGTAGACGGATTTTTTTTTTTTATTATATCAATAATATTAAATAAACAAAAGCCGCCATTATAAGAGCTCATCTCATTTATGCTTGAAGCGCGTTACAATCGGTTGACTTTCAAACAAAAATAATTGTATGTTTAATACGAGTAAAATATAAAAGTAAAATATATAAAGAAAAATATATTAAATTCTACTTACAATTATAAGTTTGTAGTAGGTTATTATCGGACATCTTTTTATCGTCAGATATTCTTCTAAAACTATTCAGTTTTCACGTGTGTATCTTGTGGCTGTATTCGCATCGGCCGCCACTCAAAGATCGTTTATGGCATGTTACAGATCAATTAACATACAGCGCCTCCTGACGAATTAATTTTTAACTATGATCTCTTAATATCGAAAGTCGAATTAACGTTCACAAAGTATACGAATAACTCGATATGTAATTTAATCATTCTAACTAATAAACAAATGAATTAAGATCAAGATTTTATAACGCGCTTTTTTTTATTTTTCCTTTCTCTTGTGATTTTCATTGTTTAATCTAGATCATGTTTGGCAAAAATTTATTTTGCAAACTTTTTGATTAATATACGAATTATATAGAATATTAATTAGATAATGAAACATAATGAAAAATGATTTATTAGATGACTTTATATTTTTTTTTAATTATATTCGTGTTCTTATACTTGTGTGAAATAATATTATTTTCTTTTTTAAATATATATATATAATTCAATAAGATAATCTATCGAATTTAATTTAATATAATTATAAGATAAAATATTAATATTGAATATATTTGAGAAACTTTTGAATCTTATTATTATATTACTCAATCGATACATTATTTTTGTTCATATGATAAAACAGGTTATATAATGCCATCTAGTTTGATGTTGGTATAATTTGTTATCTTCTGCAGAACACGATAAGTTCTTGTTTTTATTTTCATTTAGATATAAATAAAAAGGAAGATTTATTAAAAATGGCAATAATTCCACCAGATCCAAAGTATCTTTTACGTGGTGATATGGGTTGTATTCATAGTCTGTTATTTTGGATTAATTCTGATGTGGAATATTTATATGCTGGTTGTGCTTCAGGAAAAATTTATATTTGGGATTTAAAGGTAAAATGTTATGTTAAAAATTATATAACATTTATTAATTATATATGTAATATTATAATATATTTTTTATAAAATTCTTTAATTATGTAATTTATATTTGTTACAGAGAAATAGGATATTTACACAGTTTGATGCAGGAATAGATCCCTGTTTGACTATGCATAATATTAATAATAATAATTTATTGGTACAGCAAAAATGTGGTAGTATAAAAATATACAGTTCATCTGATTCCCATTGGTCAATAAATAAAATAATTGATCATGATTACCATTCCTTTTGCAGGTACTAATATTTATATAACCTCAATAAGTATATATATATAAATATATTTTAATATTATCTTGTTCAATTGCATAGAAAAATCTACTTCTAAAAATATATATTAGATCTAAAATCATAATGATTTGTCGATCACTTAATGAATTGAGTATGCTATTATAAAATAAATTTATAAAAAGAACAAATTAATAATCATATAGATTTTATAGTTATATTAAAAACAAATATATTTCTCAATTTCTCTGTACAATATGGCAAAGAATTAATAGACTGAAATCAATAAAATATTTTAAATAAGAATATTATTTTTTAATGATATCTATATCTTATGATATTTTTGATGATTACAGGTGTCAAGTATTGTCAGAGGATATTATTATTACTGCTCTTAGAGATTCTAATGTTGGATTATATTCTGTTAAAAGTTCAAACATGGAATTAACTTTATATTCTTCAGAAGTCCCATTTTCAAAAAAATTAGGAGAAGTAATGGCTATAAAACCCTTGCCATATACAGATCAGAAAGTACTTGTTGCTTATGAAATTGGATTGCTTGTATTATGGGATGTTACAGCAAAAAAAGTACTTCATTGTATGGATATAGAATCATGCCCAATGGCTATTGATTTTGAAACTTCATATATGCAAGGAGTTATTGGTAGTCCTTCTGAAAAATTAGAGGTAAAAACTTTTTTTTTGTATATATTATATATTTATATATATTTTACTATATACATTAAATCAATTAAGATTAGATCGTATAATACAATATATATGATTAGATCTTATGATATGTGATTAGATCTAATAATCAGATCATACAATACAGTAGATCTTTTTACTATTTAGATATTTAATTTATCATCCAACACTTTAACAAGTAAATACGCATTAACTTTAAAAAATCCCGGTACATCAGTTATAAATATAAGGCCCGATAGAAAACTTTTTACCGTGGGTAATTGGGATGGTCGTTTAAGAATATATTCCCAAAAAACTTTGAAGCCATTAGCAGTATTGGATCAACATAAGAGTACTGTGCATGATGTTATTTATTCACCTCATTATGTAGAAGCATATAATTGTAAATATTTAATGGCTGCTGCAGGAAAAGATAGTTACATATCTTTATGGGATATTTATAATTGAAGTTAATTTTAACGTGGAATATTTTTTGTATGGTAAATATATTTTGAATAAATTGTAAATATTGCTAAATCTAAAATTTATATTGGATTTCATAATTATATTTATATCATATTATATATTTTCTTTTTTTTTTTCATTTAAGTACTTAACTAATCGATTATTTTTATTTTTAGACGAAATGTAAGGTTACGATATCTTACGATCGAAAAAATTCTTATTTTTTAGTTTTGAGTTAGTTATTTTAAAAGATATAAAATATATTTGTTACATCTACGAAACTATTTCGAAGTACATATAAAAATATTCGAGTAAAACTTGAAACTTGCTTAAAAAAAACTAATACGCATGCTGTTTCATATATCCTTTCACTTCCCCTGCTTAAGTTTGTGATACATAGAAATCTAATAGGCGTTTCACATTCTAATACATAGATATTTTAGGTCAAAAATACTGCTTTGATAAGTGTTCAAATATCTTATCGGATTATCCAGTAAATGTGATAATAAAAATTCTATTAATACGTAAAATCATCGTCTCTAGTTCTCTTAAGCGCATTGCGATTCAGCTGATTATACACTTTTATAACTATCGTAAATAGTTGCTATATGTAGTTTAAAAAAAAAATGTTTTCTTTAAGAAGAACATTGTTAGTTAAATCTAAATTATGTATTAAAAAATTACACACTTCCAATTCATTGTAAGTAGTTTTTTGTAGGAGTATATATTATAATTTTATTATAATATATATATATTAATTATTCAATCTTATAGATATAAAATTTAATAAGTTATTTAAAATGTTAAATAATAATACAATATAATATAATAATTGTGTAATAATGTGAATAAAAATTATTAATTAATATAACGTTTTTTAGAAGACAAGTAATTTTATTTTTGAAAATTTACAAGATTTTATACGAAAAGTAAATAGCGTGTATACTATATACATATTTTATATATTAAATATATGTAACATGTTTTAATTTCATTTATAGGTTATAAACTTACAAATTATTAAGAAATTTATTATTTATTATTATAATTCGCAGATATGATGCTATTAAAATAGATGGAAATGAAATTTCGAAACAAATTAAGGAAGAATTAAAAAATGACATTGATGCCTGGGTAAAAGCAGGTAATAAAAAACCTAAGTTAGTAGCTATTCTTGTAGGAGAGAATCCTGCTAGCCAAACTTATGTTCGAAGAAAGATGGAATCTGCCAATATCGTAGGTAATATATTTTTTAAACAATATGTTATTTGTGTAAAAATTTGTGTTTATTGATTTATTGATATAGATTATTCGTTTAGGCATAGAAAGTTATACAATCAATCTGAAAGAAAATACGACTCAAAGAATTTTACTGGAAAATATAAATAGTTTGAATGAAGATCCATCAGTAGATGGCATCATTGTGCAATTACCATTACCAAAGGGTCTCAATGAAAAAGAAGTGTGTCAAGCAATATCACCCAAAAAAGATGTAGATGGTTTTCATTTAGAAAATATAGGAAATTTGACATTGGACAGTAAAGGTATTATACCAGCTACTGTCCTAGGTGTAAAAGAATTGATAGTTAGATCAAATATAAAAACCTTTGGAAAGCATGCAGTTGTAATAGGCAGATCAAAACATGTTGGTTTACCAATAGCTTTATTGCTACATGCAGATGGCAAAGGTAAATAATTATTTACAATTATATAAATTTCCCATATATTATTTAAAATTTTATAATTCTTAAAAAAATTGTTTCTATACTACTATAGTAATTCTATAAAAATCAAAAAGCTGCAATTTTAAACTTATTCTGTAGGAGCTACGGGTGGATTGGATATGACAACAACAATTTGTCATATCCATACTCCTTCTGATCAGTTAAAACAAATGACAAGACTTGCTGACTTAGTAGTAGTAGCTGCTGGTGTTCCTGGTTTAGTAACCGAAGATATGATCAAACCTGGAGCTTGTGTAATTGATGTTGGAATTAACAGAGTAAAAGATAAAACTAGTAATAGAAATATACTTGTTGGAGATGTGGATTATGAAAATGTAAAAAGAGTTGCACAATATATTACACCTGTACCAGGAGGTGTGGGTCCTATGACTGTTACAATGTTGTTAAAAAATACGTTTACAGTGGCTATGAAAAATTCGCAACACAAGAAACATTTAAAAAATATTATTTCTGAAGTGAGATAAATCTTATCTATTGTGTTATTTTACTCATTTTGTAAAACAACAGATCAGCAAATATAAAATAGTAAGTAATAAGCAAAAAATGCATGTATATTTTAATATATTTTGAAAATTAATAATTACTGACAGAATTAAAAGATTTTTTATTATCATCAATAAAAAAAAACATGTTATATAAATTGTCGAATTTTTTATATTAAAGGCTTTCTATTTACATTTGAAACTTTTTAAATAATAAGGAAACATACGTTCAAATTTGGAGTATAATCGCAACTCCAGCAAGAATCCATTTATTAGGTTTGTCTCGGGTTCTTAAATTGAACGTCCAGACGTAAGTTGGACCACGAGTTCTTGTTTTGTAAACTGGACATTCATACATATTTTTAAGATCTTGCTTATCTTGTGTTATTGCTCTAATATATACTACTGGCATTAAAGGAAACAATTCTTTTAAACGTGCATCCGAGATTACACCTGTTTCAATATCCCAACGAGCTCCTTCCATGTATAAACTATTAATGTAGGAACCTTCACGTGGTGGTGCACTATAGAAACAAAAGTGAAAAGTATCTTATTATTTATACAAAATCCGGACATTGTAACAATATAAATGATATTTCCTTACGTAACTTCATCCTTTTGTTTTGTAGTTACTTCGCAATGTAGACACATTTTATCTAAAGGCCATTCATTTTTACGTGCAGTTTGTTGCATAATTGCTGTAAGAAAGGACTGAGGATTAAAGAATCCCCCTAGCCATACTGATGAAGGAAGCTATTAGAAAAATTTGACATTAATGTATATAGCTGTGTAAATAATAAAATAAAATATAACAAAAATCATTTACATTAAAATCCGACGTCCAACTAGCAAGTTCTCCAACTCTATTTAACATATCCATGAACCAACTACTTAAATTAAGATTTGAAGGATAAGCTAATCTAGTCCATGATGGTGGAACAGCATTCATAAATATATTATTTTGTAAGTTTTCCATTTCCGGACTAATCGTAAGTTCACCCTATAATAATTAAATGAAATATCAAATTATTCAAATTAAATATATATATATATAATAAATTAACTTTAATTTAGTCAATAAATACCTTTAATCCAAGTGTTAGTTCTCCAAGAGATCTCTTTAATTCATTACACAACATATTCATTCTTTCACATTCTTGAAAAGAAACAATAATAAATGGAGTACGATCTTCAACCTAGATAATAATTCTATTTAATAATTATTTTTAATATTTAAATAATAAACACAATTAACAAATGAATTTTCATCCACCTTGCTCATTAATTCTTGTATATTAAATTCTTCAGGTAGTCTATCTATTAAATCTTCTATAGTATATTTAACTTTATCTTCCATTGAAAGACCTCCTTCTGTGGTATCAACAACATCTCTTGGTTGCATTTCTAAAAGAGTTCTAAAAAGATTTTCTGCAGTAGCTGTTAAAAATCCTATAAAACATTTTGTTAAATATTATTATAGTATACTAATATTTTATATAAGTAATTTTCAGCTAATAGGTATACCTATTTCAGCATTTGGATGAAGTCCATATAAAATAGGACTTTCTGGAGGTAAATAATCATCTATATATTGATGATATGCTATATAATCACTATTAGGTGGTACCAAAAATCCTGGTGTTAAATATAATTCTCCTTCAACAAGTTCAGGTTGTAAATATTCCAGAAGATATGTCTGGCATAATCTTCTGTCCCAATCATCAGTGATGTGTCCACCATACATTATTTCTCCAAATAAATATCGAAGATCTTCCCATGGTACCTTTATATTATTCTCCAAATAATTCAATAATACTGAGATACTAATGGTCAAATCGCCAACACTGAATGGGTAAGACTATAGCAACAATAACATAACAAAAAAATTCGAATTTTAATTATTTATAATTTAAAAAATTAAACATACTATAAGGTATGTAAATAGATCTGAAAAATACTTTATTCCATCCTTGTGCTCCGAATTTTTTACGTTCATTCACAACAGCATGATAATAACATAGGGCAAATAAGATAGCTTTAAATTCCGTTTCTTTAGTAGCAGAGTCCAATGTTTCTTGTGAAAAATTATCCAATGCTTTATGTATATTAGCATGCATTCCTGTTGGAGGCTCATTTGTAATTTTTATAGCTGATTCTAGAATACCCTGAGAAAAAAGAATATGTTAATATTTCATTGATATATAATAAGCTTTCTTTTTGTATAATAAATACTTGTGGTATAATTGACTCAGAAGGCGAAGGACTAGCTTCGGCACTTATATATAGACGATAATTTTCATGAGGATCTTCTGTAAGTTGTTCCATTGTTCTTTCTAATTGTGGTAACCAACTTCGTACTAAATGAATATTCTGTAATATAACCCAATGTCCTTCTGTTGCTGCAATACTCATTGCTTCTTCAGCAATAGGTTCTTGTCCTTGACCTAATGATACATTATGGAAATTTTGGCCATCCGATGTAAATCCTAATTTTTTGCCTAGTTTTTCTACATCCTATAGGGATGACATTTTATTGTTAAAATAAATATTGCCTTAATAAATACATTTAATAAAAGATATCACATACTTTCAATGGATCTACACCCGGAGAAAGAATAAAAAATACTGGCGTTATTGAACTCGTTTCCTCATATGATTTTTCGAAAGGTAAAGCTCTGGATTGAACAAATTGTGGACCCAATTTTTCTTCTACAAAGCAACTAATATAAAATAAAAATGAGATGTCTTATATTATTTAACAAATTGCATAAAAAAATATATACTAAATATATAATCGTTTACCTTATAGCATAAGTCATACGGTCCAATCTCATACATCTGATCATGCATAATCTTTGTAAAGCTGTTATATGTCTCCATTCCTGTGGAAATCGTTCTTTTTCTGGTATTTCTGATTCAACAATTTTCTTCCATCTTTTTGATGAGCCTTCAATATCTCGATCTAAATTTAGAAAATCATCCATTCCACTTAAATATACTATACCACCCCAACCTATATTATCCAAAAAATCTACGCGACTGCTAAGATCGGGAACATAGGGAAATCGTAGAAGAAAATCTACTTCTACCGATGATATTTCCTTCATATGCAATAATATCTATAATATCATAAAAAAAATTTTTTTTATAAACGACTTATTTATATTATTAATTAAAGAAATTAGATTACGATTATGTTTACTTGTATTGTCATTTGAAAAAGAAATATAATCTTGTCACTTTCAAATAATCCTCTACTAGTATACACATACACTAAGTATGTTATACTATCTATTAAATATGAAACACGTTTTTCAATAATGTCAGATAATTCTGCAAACTTAATTGCATTTCCAAATACTACACTGAATGCCTTTAATGAAAACTGATATAACATATTAATTTTGTAAAGTTCATTTAAAATAAAATATAAAAGACTTGCTCTGGCAGCAACAGGGCGATATAATTCTCGTGCCATATCTATCTTAATCGCAGTTTCTTTAGCTTCAGCTGCTTTAATCTCAATGTCAGCTGCAGTTTTTTTCGTAGTTTCAAGATTCACCACAAGCGTGATATCACTTAAAATATCAGGCCCAGCAGAAGATAATCTGATAAACAGTCGAAAGTAAATATTTCTTAGATATATTTTTCTTTTTTTTTTTTTAAACACATACATATACAATCATAAAATATACCTATGCAACAAATCATCCTCTAACGCTTTCAGTGTTATTTTAAACATATTTTGTTGAGTGGTAAGTTCACTTTTTGTACTTTCTAAGTCAGGTCGTTCGACCTTTACTACTTCACCTAATAATTGTTCTTCTAAGCCATCTTTTGTAACTGTAAAATTTATAATTGTAGTCTGTGCTTGCATTTCTGGTTTATAATGTGGGTTTGCCAATTTAGTTTGCAATATAAGTCTAAAATTTGGATCATAATCTACTTCTTTATCTCCAATTTTTATTGCCCTGAAATAGAAAATATACAATTTGTTATTATATTATTTTAAAAAAATTAAAATACTTTTTAATAATTTTAATAATTTTTTATATAACAATTTTTGCATACCGTCCTTTCCTTATGAAAACTCGACCGAGGATAGGATCCAATACTGCATCAACAGCTTCCATAATATTTTCTAATAAAACAACTTGTCCATTACTAATAGCATATTCAATTATATCTAAATAATGCCGTTGAGTTAATCGCAATACTTTTAGCTCATCGCCATATTTATTTTTAATCCATTTAATTCCTTGTAATTGTGGATCAATCATTAATGGCCATCTACTTGAATTTGTAAGTATTGTAGCATTTTCTGATGACATTGAATCAGCTGGTAATCCTATTAAGAAAAATATTGCAAACATATAGCACATTAGTCGTTACGAAAAATTCTTCTTTTTTTGAATTCTTTATCTGTATAGTATATCTATAAAGAAAATGTATGACACATAAGAGAAATTTTATGTACATAAATACCTTCATTATTCCATTGAGCAATTTGAGTATCATCTGTTATTAATGTTAATAAATCTAAATCAGGTGTTCGTGGGATACGGATTTCTAACTTATCAAAGAAAGGCAGCCAATGTAAATTAAGTAAATCTAATCTATATTTTCTTGTAAAACCACCCATATATGAAATAAATGCTGTCACAAGTAATACATCACCAGGTATAGTAATTCCTGATGTTTTCAATCTATATAATGATGAAAGAAATTATTTGATATAGTAATAATAGTAAATAAAAATATATACAATATATATTTAACATATACTCACATTTTTAAAGTTTCAGTCCAACGTATTTTTTCTGAAGCTAAACCATTTACCAATCTATTCGCAAGATCTATAGTTAAACTTGTTGCATCTGCTTCATCCTGACACTTTTGTTTTTCTGCTAATGCTACTTCCATTTTTTCACCAAGAATATCTAATACTTTTTGAAGTTCCTATGTATATGACATCCATAATAGTATTAAATAATGTCTCGTTTTCTCATCTCTATTCATTAACTTACGTTCAAACGAGCTCTTAAAGAATTTAATCTATCCATTGCAATTTTGAGTTCCGCATTAGCTTGAGCAAGAGCAGCCCTGAGAGGTTTTACAGTTTCATTGATATAATGAAAAACCATTATATTTTTTACCCAACTGCAAAGGCCTGCAGCTGCTTTAGATTTCGAATAAATAAATTCTGGATCGAATTCTGTGTTTACAATAAAAAAAAAATTTATATATATATATATATATATATATATAATAAACTATATACATTAATTTATACTGTAAAATAGTATAAATTTCTCATTTATTACTGTTTTTATACCTTTATCATTGATATAAGGTTGAATAGCTTTAACAATTTCAGGATGAATGTTTTCTTTATCATAATTGTGTAATGCTGTAAGAAATGCATCTGCAGAACCCATCATTACTTTACATGCTTTCCAACTTCTATCTTTTGGTATTTGACCTCTTGGAGAAAATAAAACCAATACTGCTTGTGCAACTCTTATAACTGCTTCTGGAGGTGAACCAAAAGACTTCAACTCCGTCAAATTGTTCTGAAATTAATTACCATTTAATTCTTTATTAAATATCATTAGATTTTATTACATAAAATATATTCCTTAATAATCGATGGTAACTAAACTACAATATATTCACCTTGTTTAAAGTATCTAATGCTGCTTCTGCTTGTTTTACAGCTGGTTCCGCCTTGGCTAAATCTTCATCACAACGTCTTTGTCTTTCTGTTACTGTTTCCTTTATTTCAGCAACTTTCCCTTCTTCTTCGGAT